TAAACCAGACTGCTTTCTTGTCTAATGACTTGACTCTTCATTTTAGTATGCAACACATGTTTAAGTGAGTTGATAGCTAACCTCCTATTAATTTACTAGTATGTATTAACTACTGAGTATTTTCTTACCTTGAAAAATGATTGCTTTATGTCTTGTCCCAATCTCTCTGACATTTTACCCATGTTGTCTGACATTTTAGTCATTCCCTCTGCCAGGCTGTCAGGGAGAGACTTGACTGCATTTGATACATTTCTCATAGAGTTACGCAGTGGGTTTACAAATGTGTCCATCTGAAGGGGAAGATGTTTAACCAGAATTGTATAATCTATGAGGACACCAGTATATGAATACACTATGAGAAGTATCACAATGTTCCAGAGAACGGTAATATAAAGAACAAGTCAGATTATGCTGCATTCTGTAACAAACTTAAGCAAAGTTTTAGCTTCACTTTCATTTATATTTCTCACTCCTTACAGCCCTACTGTAGCTATTCACATCTTTCAACAGATCTTCCCCCCCCGCCCCAAGTCATTTCCATTTCCCAACCTTCAGCTTTCTTAGCTTGAATTTATTTTCCTTTTATTCTCCAGTCAATGCCATTTCTCCTTTCCAAGCTTCCTACTTCCAGGTGTTTCACTTCTGCTTTCAACTCTTCATCTTAGAAACATGCCTCTCAAACAGCACTGGGGTAATATGCTTTAACATCATGCCAAATATAATTAAAAACATAAAGTAGTTGCATAGAAACTGTTACAATTTCTCTTTCAGTACATACTCTAAATTCAGTCCAAACAGAGGCACAAATACTAGTTTGATGCCCTTAAAAAAATTAAGTTTATGACAAACCTGATAAGCCCGAAATCAAATCTTAATCAGTCATTACATAAACCTTGATAAATATTTAACTGTTTCACTGTTAAATATTTAAGGAATATAGGTAGAACAACAACTTGAAGTGACAATACAGCTGCAGATGCTTTTTTATATCAAAATCACTAGAAGTTTAGAAATAGCTATATTTGCAAAGCAGATGCCCACAAACTGGTCAACTGAACAAAAATTCACTTGTCTGAAGAGAGTTCTGGTGGCTTAACAAAAAGGATGCAGAGCTCAGAGCTCTGAATTTGACCAATGACTCTGAATGGTTACAACACTACGTAACAGCTGCCTTTGAAGGGAAATGCATTTCATCTTTTGGGCTGAAGAGCAGAGAGCGTGGTAACAGCAGCAAATAGAGTAAAGAACTGAAAAAAGAAATTAGAAGAAGTGAGCCTATGGAAAAAAAAAAATCACAGATGTCTGACAAAGTAACTTGCAACGAACAGACTTCTAAAGTAGTCTTGGTGCAATACATGGTGTCAAATTTGAAAATTTTATTTCCTTGTCATACAAATAAATTTACCTGTTGTAAAAAAGGTAAATTTTTGGTTCTGTATGTCCTCAGATACTTTGCCACTCATGAAGTATTACAGCAACTCACTTGCAAGTTGTTTTCAAAGTGCTATATACCTTTTTAATATCTATAGCTAGTTTAATATCAGTTAAATTATTAAATTATAGCTAGTTTAATATCAGTTTAACATCTCTGTTTAATGCAATCATTGCACTAATGAATGCTCTGAAGCTCCCTTGACAGTGCGAAACATTCTTACCTTCCGTGCAAAATCCCCCTTCCCTTTGCTGTAGGCTTTATTCTCCAGGAAGTCATACACATAATGGGCTAAAGCTGGAGAAGCTTTCATCATTTCAGGATTTAACAACAGCTGAGTGAAAAAATTTTTAAAAGGTGCTTTTTAATACATAATGAAAAAGGCCATACCATTCAGTTTAATAAAAGTTTACCATGCACAAAGACACTACATCTTGTAATGTATTTTCTCATTCATTCTCTACATTTTATTCCAACATTACACTATTCTGAAGATGGAAACAACGTGCTTCTTGGTAATTCCCACAATTTTAACTAGTATGTTCATTATAGCATCTCACAGAAAAATACACACCTTTATGACCACTCAAACTGCTTCTAAAACTCCAAGGAAAAAAACCAAAACAAGCTGTGACTGAAAAAAAATATTGCTATTAAAAATAGGGCATGTCTCACACAAAGGAAAAAATATTAGCACTCTAAACAGAGCAATCAGATTTCACAATGTTTTATTCATCTTCGTTATTTATTGTTAACATGTCCATTGAGTTGGTCAACATATTTTAGTGCTAAATGACCAGAAAGTCCCCATGAAGCAAGACAACTGAATTCCTTTAGTTGGGCTGATACAGGCCTCATCTGAATGGAGAAGCTGTGTGGTTTGCTACACTGCTGGAGTGGGTGCCACACCAATCCTTATGCAACTGCACAAGAGAAAGTAACCACAAACATGAATCTAATGGAAGAAAGTTAATGCTGTAGAGCTCAAAACGCACACAGCTGGAATCTCACCAGCTCAGAGGAGTTGTCACAAAACTGGCTGAGAATCAACCAAAACAGCAAAGAAAAGGCAAACTTACTAGATAATATGGAGTTCTTATGGTATACCATTTAGGATTGTACACCACCTACAACACGGCCTCTTTTTTTTTTTTTTAAAGGCACGCTAACGAATTTTCTACTTCAGAAAAAAAGAATTCCAATCAAGAACACAACCAAAAAAACCCATAACGGCTTACCTGCAAATATGCATTTAAATCTTTTTTCCTCTTTTCCAAAAATTCTCTGTCCATATTGTTAAATGTCTTTTTTCCAGGAAGTTTCAGTATATTTGCAAGATTTTCAAACTAGAAAAGAGAGAAATTTTTTTTGTTCTGTTTTCAGAAGAGTTTCAAATCACCATATAAGCTCAGAAATTATAGAGGTCATTATATTCACCTATTCTTATCTACCATATAACACCTGACAAAATTCCTGCATCAAGCCCGGAACCTGGATTCCTTGGAGAAGCCAAACTGAAAGGTAGGCCATCAAGAACAAATGCACGAAAATTCTCAGGAGACTGCCAAGGGCAAAACGTAATTTCTGAACACACAAATGGCATACTCACTTTTGAAATACAGCCTAGTATAGCATGCAAAAGACTTAGGCTCAAGATTTATCATTGTTATTTGGGCAGAAGTTAGTAGGGTTATGAGACTACATCAAGAGAACTTGCAAATCTTTCTAAAACACTTTCCCTTTCCTCTCCTGATCAAACCTACTAACGACATGCTTAAGCTTTTATCCCTGGAGTGGATGGCAGCACCCAGTTTACATATAGGTTATCATACCATGCTTGATACGCCATCACTTCTCCCTTTTCTCCAGGTAATGACAGTGATTGGCACTGGTTGACATGTCTTCTGCTGTTCCAGTTTTATGGAAAGAATGGGTGTTCAGGGAAGCAGCAGGGAAAGAAGAGGCCCTAACACTTAAGAAGGCTGAATATATTTGCTACAATGCACAAAAACGAGAATAAAAGTTGAAGAATCAGGTTTATCCACATATAGAATCCAGACATCATGTAAATAATAATAATATTCTTAAGGCAGTAAAGAAAGAAAGGTGTAGTATCCAGGATTTAAGAAACAACCTAGAAAAAAGTTGTATCCTTTTCTCTCTAGAGAAGACCACAAAATTAGAGATTTAATGAGAAATTGAGTCCATTCAGTCCCTGCAAGGTGTCTTTTTGCAAAGAGATCATTAAACTTTGGAAGCCTCTCTATAATGTTTATGGCATGTAGGAAGCACCAAAGAATATCTCTTTCCAACTTTACAAATCCCATTCCCTTGCAAATAGGTCATGTGGGAAAATAACTGAACAGAAGATGGTCTAGTTTTTATTTAGATAGTTGTATCTAAACGGAAGCAATGTAAGCAAACAACAGCCTCTATTTGAAATATAGATACCTACTTCAAACAATATTTATTACATAAATAATTACCAATAAAAATGTCTCAGACAAGCACAAAAGCAGTGTATCAGTGACATTCCTGTTCCCGTAAATTCAGTAGGAATGTCTATTTTATTGTCAAAACAAAGCAAAATTGTTGAGAGTTTCTGAGATGGCTACAATGAAGGACGGGAATTTTTTACTTTTTGCAATCTTAGTGTTCTAGGATAACAACCATTTTCTGTAAATTCAAAGAACTCGGATCTAGCAACACGAAATTTCTGAGCTTTCACATTTTGAAAGTTTTTGCTTCTGTCATGTTTTTTCTAGTCATTCACTGGTTGGTCAGTTTTAAGTTACTGCCCCATATCAGCAGAACATTAACTCGCTATAAGATCTGGGAACCCCTATCTGTTTCAACAGGTCAGGGATTCTTCAAAACAGTGAATTAGTTTTTAAAAAAATGAAAAAAATCAATTTGAAGAGGAGCACAAAAATTGGTATTTCAAATTTATTGACAGGACACTAAGATAATCAGAAATTCAAATGAAAGCCAGACTTCATTTATAATTAATAAAAAAGCAAAAGTTGTATGGAATATTTGTAATAAAGCCTTTTCCATTTTTACTACTGTTGTGACTTTCACAATGTTAACTTACCTGCACAGAACTTGTTCTCTATGCCTCTCTATTAATAACAGAGTAAAGAGATATAATCCAACATTTCTGACTAGTTCAAAGGTTATGTGGCCAAAGCTGACTTCTCCAAAGGCTTGGTTTACAAGCATTTTACTCTCCTCTTTTAAAAGCACGGTATTTTTGACACTTTTTCATGTCAGCAAGTTTTACTGTGCACCAGCTGGTGAATTAGAAGTCTCTATTTTTTCCTTCTTTCATTTTAGGAGCGTTAAGAATCTGAGAATACAAGTACAGCAATAAAAGGCAGATTGTCTAGCAGTACACTGAACTGCCAATAGCTGTCCCTTTTGAGACCCCACCAATACTTAACATTTCACTTAAAACCTAAATACCTACTTCCCAAGCTCAGTTTTTATTTTTTATCTCTGTGACATATGCAGCAAATGAAATACGCCACTGTTCGAGACCAATAGCACTTCCACAAAAACGTTTTAAAGCAAAATTAAGCAAAGGAGGGGAGGTGGGTGAAAGTTCCATCTCCTTTTGTTAGAGGAATCGTATAGCCATCAGGTACTAAACTCTATAAACATGCACCTGTAAACTGCTCAGTACAAATAGTGTATGATATAAATGGTAAAAAATGGAAAATGGAAAATGACATAGTGCTGTAACTCCACGTTAAGTCATTTTGAGAAAGCCAATACTCATGCCATACCATCACACAGAAAAAGCACTTTTCAAAGAAACCTTAAAAGGTTTTTATGAGGTTAATTACCTGCTCAGTGATCCTCATGTGAAAGTCATGGAAGTCACTGTAGCGTCGATATGTCTTCCATGTCTCTTCGCTGTTTGGATTTCGCCGATGGACTGTGATAGCATACAGTGCATATGTCTTGCCGTGGTCATTACACACTCCTGCCACAGCATATGGGTCACAGTCAGCATAGACTAGTAGTTTAAAAATAAAATAAAAAAGGAACAAACAGAAAGAAGGAAGACGAAAGGACACAAACGTGAAGTGAAGCAATGTCTGGAATGACAGACTCGAGAGACAAAAATGGACATGAAAGCAGAAGAGTAAGCCATCCCTTTATCCAAAACCCTCCAGAAATTTATTATGTAAACTTAAGTAGAGAGATTAAGTAGCCTTTAAATTAGACAAGTTTCACTGGTATGCAAAACAAACAAAGAATAGCAAAGATTTCAACTTTTAAGAATAATGAATAGATCTTTTAAAAAATAATTTTAACTTAAAGAACTCAAGATAAGGGTGAAAGACAACTGTGAAACCAGAAGAAATTCCAGTCTGCAGAGTACTCTAATTGCAAAAGTTTGTCCATCAAAAAAATCTGTACATACAAGACAGTGCTAGCAAGCTATAAGCATACAGTTTTATTATTAACATCAGCAGTTTGTTATTAACTGGAAGATAAAAAAATACCCCACCCCCGTTTAAATCAACAGAAACTATATATACACACACACACACGTATGTATGTATTCTGTATGTGTGTGTACATACAATATATTGTGTGTGTACACACACACATGCACACACATTTTAATGGAGAAGTCAATTTATACATGGAAAGAACGCAGATAGCTATTTTAAATAGAATCAAACATCTTTTTGTTCTCCATTGAAAATTTAGGTTCTCTTAGATATTACTCCATCACAGAATTCACCCAGTACAGAGTTTGTTTCAAAAATTTTCATTTGATCTACAGAATAACCTAGAACCAATATTGTTTACACTGCAAGCTGTTTAAATTGGCAACATGTATCTCTACGTACTGAGCCAACACACAGTAATCACAATTTTCCAGTGGCTAGATGAAAATACTTTTTAATCAAGTTCTGTGAATTTTTCAATGCACCCACACTCCATAAAATACACTTTTACTGACAAATCATCAGCTCCAACTTCTGTTGTGCTTCCAGCCTTGACTTGACTCTGAAGTATAATGGCAAGGTCTAAGCAGCCAGGGAGCACCTCTAGGATAGGGGCTGCTGCTGACAATGTAAGAATTACTCACTAGTGAGGTGCACAGAGCATCTTTTCTTTGCTGTCTACCCTCTAGAAAAATAATGTTGAGTGCTGCACCCCCACAGAAAAGAGCAGGCAGTCAGGATGCTGCTAAAAAACTGCCCAGAGAAAGGAGCAGGGAAACCCCAGCCCCACAGATGTTGAGCAAGCCCTATTCTCTAAACTCATGTTGACCGCTCTGCTGTGCAGCCACCAGACCACACTTCAGGGGCACTGCTGAGTTTGCACCTTTAGGAGCACCGCTTCAGAAAGTGAATGTCAGAAAAAGAAAGAAGTTGTCCCCACCACCCCTCATGTCATAGCCTCTTATCAGCATTTATTTTGCAACAAAAGACAAGGTGAACCCTCAAAGATTATGGAGAGGATCTTGTATAAAACACACAAGCACAGTAAAGTGTACTAATTGGCAGAGGAAAGGAGCCTGCACACAGATGCAAGATGCACCTACTGCCTGTAGCACCAAGAAAGCAGGGACTTGTATTTCTTGTTCAAACATGAAGTGAAGAGAAAGAAGACATCCAGTTTAATCCGATCTTACAATATGAACCTGTACATATCCCCTGGTTCAACTGGAGCATTATGGATTCACAGAGTCAAGCTGATAGTTATCAATACACATTGCCATCAAGATTATAGATTTAAAATAATTTGTGTGGTTCTAAGTTTACCTTCTTTCTTAGATCAAAACAATGTAACTTCTAAGTTTAATTCAGGAAAAAGTATCACATGCTATTTTAATAAAAAAGCAAAACTGTGAATCTTAACTTTTAAATTATATTTTCTCCTTCTCTGAGGACTGACTGCATGAGACTTGGATTGCACTGCACTCTCACACTGGGTTGGAGTAACAGTTTAATTAAAAAAGTCAAGTAGTTCAATTCTTGCTCACAGCTCATGTGTCTGCTATATAAATGCATAGATTTAAAAGTCTATTGCATAGTAAAATCCGCCAAAAAAAAGTATCTGAAGATCAATTCTCAATTTAATTACCCAGTGCAATCTCATCTAACTAGAATATTTGCAAATAATATCTGAGAAGTTTTTATTCTTTACTCTCATGTAATAAAAACTTTCCATTTATTACTAAGCAACTTTTTTCCAAAAGATAATAAAAAATGCCACCACTGTAAAGACTGAAGTCATATCTTAAGTTAAGTCATAAGGAAGCACAAAAAACAGGGGAAAATACTATAGTAAGAGAAGTAAACTGTCAAGAATTAGAATTGTGTGACTTGAAAAAAAGAATCAGAATCTGTTCTTTAAATAATTGTTAAAATAAATGCCACTCAATATTAAGTTTAATGAATGATTTTCCAGAGATAGGAAAAAATAATAATACCATTAACAATAAAAATGAAATCACATATAAATATATATAGTCTACAACCTACAGCACCAATTCTGTAAGGATTTCCATTCCAAGAACTTCATGGGAAATGTGAATTCAAATGTTTTATGAGGTTAAAATATTAAAGGATTAGGATTTCAAGGGCCTGTAATATTAAAAAACTCAAAATAAATGATGGTAAACAAGTAAGCAGCCATCATAACAGATTCACTTACCAGTATCTGAGATGTATGCATGGAGTTGAATTGTCTCATCAGAAGGTACATTTGAAAGGTCATCTAAGGACTGCAGGGTTGGGGAGAGGGGGAGGAGTAAGAAACACGCAAAAGAGTAAGTTCACAGATACCTCTCATTTGAGAGATGCTTTTTGATTCCTCTATTTCATTTTCAAAATTTCAGTTCACTACACTATTAGAATAGCTTAATGCACTGCAACAACAAAAACAGGTGTTTGTATTACCTGGTAAGTAAAGCCTGCCTTTTACATAGAGTGTAGGGCCCTTCATTTCCCCTACCAGTTTCACATAGTTTTGTGATCACTCTAACATATTTGCCACTTTAATTTGATATCTCAACTCTAGTAGAAGTACAATACAAATAGTCTTTTACTGAACATTACAAAAAAACCCCACTGTTTTTCCTCGTAAAAAATGAACAGGTACATCCTCAGCTGGCTAAAGCCCTGTCTCCCTATTCAGTGATTACTGGGATCAAAAGAAGCCTAACGTGTCTTTTAGAGAAGCTTTGCTATTATTTAAAATTAGTGCATCTCACTACTAAGACTTAATATAATAAAGCTCTGAAAGATTGTTAGGTGAAAAACTTGGATACACAACTGAAAGAAATACAGGATGGGCCACTACACATGTGATCCTCATCTTAAATTACCAGGTTTAAAAAAAAAGATGGAGCTACTTAAGTAGAATTCATAGGCACTAGGATCCCAGCTACTTTACATATTTTACCCCAAAATTCTAAAATAGTTCAAAGATAGCTGCATATTGATTCTGAACGTGTATCAGCTATATTTTATAATTTAACCAAGCCAGTTTAATAGCGAGTTGCCACAGAAGTTTACCTAGAATGGGACCTACTGGGTACCAGTACCATACTCATGTCAAAGTAAAACCCCAATATACGTCAATCAAGTTTCACACCTCCTCTGCTTCCTTAAACATAAACCAACCTTACGTGATTACAATCAAAAGTTAGGTTGGATTTGAAAATGTAAATTATTTAAAGCCTCTGGTCTTGCCCCTTCTTCATCTGAATCTTTATCATCTCCATGATATCCCAGCATAACACTTCAGTCCTTCCTTCTGAAGCTCTCTAGAGGAAATGGCTCTTCTCTGCCTCAACCACCTCAATCAGTCTCTGCGTAAATATCCACAATGGAAGGTGAAGGAAGTAATATTTTTGTTATAAAGTCTAGATACTGAATAAATGGCAACGTTAAAAAGGTCTGAACACACTGACTATGGTTTAATCGGTATTGCAGTAAGTATTGCATCTCCTAAATATCTTATGATACATCTTGTAGGCTTACAGTACCAAAGTCCCAGACTCAAAAATGGCAGAAGAGCGAGCAGCTGTTTGGGAAATCTGCTTGGCCACTGCATGCTATAATGCTAAAAGTTTATGTCTGTCCAATGGTAGAACAGATGAGCACACGCAAAAATATTTTGAGAACAGACATCATCTTTACCTCAAGAGTTCCCAAATCTGTACATTACTGGATGCTGGAGAGTATTCTGGTAAAGTATCACGTAAGTGGACTGTTCCTATAATCATCATTAGACACTTGCTTTCAGTCATTGTTGGATATAGGGCTAGACTTTCTCTGACCTAGTCCATTCTTAAGCAAGTCACCCTTGGACAGCAGTAACCCTGCAAGTTGTGATCTATACTGCAGTGCCCAAATTTAAAAGCAGAATATCACCTGAAATTGATGAACAACAAGAATTTGTGGAAGCTTGAATACATGCTTGATATTCTGAGAACTCTAGAATTTGATTACCAGCAAGATGGAAGGGATGTTATTAAAGAAAAGTAACAGTCAACTGCTCTAGTATTTTGTTTGCTATGAAATATTGACATCAAGGTACTGTGACTTTTCTTAAAAGGCATCATTATTTCTTGTTTTCCTGCCTTCCTTCATTGCCACTCACGACAGTTCAGTTTTCTTCTTGATAACTGAATGGGGTCCAAGTTCACATATCCCAAATACTGTCAGAAGTTCAACCCAGCCATTTCTGCTGCCATTCAAGGTCTTGGATATGTAACACCTGTGTAACTCCTCCTATCCACTCAATGCAAATGCAGTATGTAAAGCTCACATTATGGATCCATTTAGGTGAAATTTGCAAGAGTTTATAAATATTCCTGTATTGTTTTATACCCTCAAAATATTCCCTACTGGTTTAATATAGTAGATTAATGTGTCAAATAAAAGGCAGAATTAAGAAGATACTTTTGTGAAATAACTTTTCCTGAAAATAGTTTTGAGCCTCCAGACAATCTTGAAATACATTCTTACAGTGAAAGTATAAACTGCAGGAGATGTATTTTATAATAGAAACTTTAGGAAACACTTAACTGCTGTGGGAAGGCACTATACAGCAACAATTAATATAAGTAAATGAAATGGTTGAAACTTGAACAGATAACACAACAGTTTGCATTTAATATGACCTAATAACTTTGACATTAGGTATATTCACAGGAACACAAAGTTAATTAAAAAGCAAAACTATCACACCACAACCCAATCTTATTTAATGCATTGTCATTAGCTACAAGTACAAAAATTCCCTGACCTTTGAAGTAACCTTTTCAAGGTCTATTTTTCTTTATGTAACTGACTGACACAAGGGAGCTGAACTATGTGGACAGAATTTTACTCTTGACATGGAATTCAGCCAGGAAAAACTAATGTACCAGTACTCAAACACCTGTAAAAGCACTGAAAACCCTGAACAGCCCTGAACAATATGGACTACAGAAAGCAAAAGTTCTTCTGCATAAACAGCGTTTTATTCCACATTTCTGCTAGAATATTCTTCACTCTTTAGAAGAATAACAAATGTCGTATTCTGCAAATATACTTTTCACAATAACAACAAAAATCAAGACTTGGAAGTGTTCTATGCAAATATCTATTTGTATTGCAACAGTGCTTGATAAAGGCTTTAAGGTTTTCTAGCTTAGTTTGGAAAGGCCACATGAAACTAAGCAGCCGATAAATATTAGCCAGAGGAGCCACTGCCATGACAAATCCCCATCCACAAAATATGACTTTGATATGTCAGAACATTCTTAGAAAAAGTAGTTAAGAGACATTTAATTGACTAATCACTTAAAAAGATCTTTCAAAAGAACCTTTTCTGAAATGTTCCCAGAACTTTATGTAAATTTACAAAAAATATGGCTAAATTCAGCTTTCCTTCTGTATCTAACAAGAGTTTGTGTAAATTGTATCAGCTGACCACCTCTGCTTTTCCTCCTATTTCAAAATGTAAACATAAGGAAAATAACAGAAAAAGAAAATTCCAACTTCAAAAAAAAAACAAAACAAAAAAACAAAACAAACAAAAAAAAACAAAAACAAAAAACAAAACAAACAAAAAAACCCCAAAAAAAACAATCCACAGAAACAAACAACCCACCCCCCCAGAGAAACATATTTACATTCATCTTAAATGTATTCCTTTAAAAAATAAACTCTATTCCTCTGCATGCAAGCGTAATACGACCAATGCACTAGAACTGCTAAGGAGCTAGCTACAGTATCTTCCAAGAACGAATTAGAACGGCCCATGAATCACATAAGCCAGCAAACTGCATGCAGATTGCAAATCTTTCTGAAACTAAAAGATCTGGAAAATACTCTCATATGCACAATTGAACCTTGCGTATCTTGTGGCTCAGCTACATATAATCTGAAAAAACAAGGAAGAGGGATTTGATTTTTGGTTTAAAACATTTTAAACCCAGTATCATCTATGTGGGACAGATCATTTGGGAAAGGTCTGGTAGAAGTACACAGTTCTCTTCATACATATGCAACCACTAGTACATGCAGAAGCATATTTCAAGTATTTAGGCACATTCATGTAACAAAATAAAGGTTCTGACAAGCCAACTCAGTCAAGAATTCATAAAAAAAAAAATTGAACTTCAAATTAGTAGGATTAGAAACCAAAGTTTCATATTTTGAATAGATAAACTAGTTTCCAAATCAAGTCCTTGCTGAAAAAAATAAACCAATCAACCTATAAAAATGTAATTAAATGCCTCATTTTACAGTCAATTTGAATTTAATCCTTCGAGATTTCAGTTTCAAAGGATTTGTTTTCACCTATTATTATCTAACTGCAAAGTATGCTTTGCATAAATTAACTACAGATTATTGCTGTTTCTGTGAGACACAATGCAAAATTCCATTAAATACAGGGGAAAGTACAAAAGGGACAGTCTTATCTTACAGATTAATTGATACCGCATGTGTGTTTCAATTTGGTTTAAGAACTTTTTCAGAAATTAAACTGCAATGAAGTAAAACCTCTAACATACATAATTTAAACTATTTTTATAACACTTTCCCTATTGTTAGGGAGGAGGAAAAAAAAAAAAATCCAAGCACTTACCAGATTTATGCTGCCAGTAGGAGACCCATTAAAAGATTCTGGGAGTAGTGAGGAAGTGGAAAGGAAACAACAGGTTAGAAGATTTTCTCCAGTGTAGAGCCACAGACAAGAAATAAAAATGCAAAGATAAAACATTACGGAAAATAATGGACTACTGTGGCAAAACGTTGCACCCGACATAAAAGTACTTCAAGTTTCCTATAGAGACACCTAAAGGAAAATGTATGTAGGTTTATACAGCTATAGATATGAAATAAATACTCCAGACAACATTCCTTTTTAACCTTATATCACCACATGAAATTGCTTCATTAAGGAGTCAATTTAATAATTAAACAATTTCCATTAGACTTGTATGAGAAGAACAATTTTAATTGCTTTAAAAACCAGATCTCGTATGTACTTTCAATTTCTATTTCCAGATAAAGAATACTGTTACATATTAGAACAATCCAACATGTTTAAGAACCTCTAATATTTTTGAATAAAAATGAGAATTATAGAGTCACATACTTATGCAACACATTTGTAACCAAGACTTGACAAAAAAATTTACATGAGATTAATAACATTACTACAGAAAAAAACCCTATTTGACTCCCAAAACAATTTACAAAAAAAAGCACAAGGAGGAAACATTAATTTAAAAATCAGAGATGTTACAGAACCTTTTTGATTTCTCAAAAACAGTGTGGATAATTTTCTTATTTTCATTTTAAAGCAGAAGAATGGTCCCAGAAAATCCCCCTTACAGATATAAAGCTCACCTCCTTCACCATCATCTGATCCTCTGAAACTAGGATCCTTCAGCATATCCAGCTCAGCTAACATACGCACATACAACACATTCTGTTTGAATGAAGGGTAGAATCTTTCATCTCGCAGCATCAATTCATACACCTTGTTGGAATAAAGATGCCAACCTTAGAAACACTTACTCCATTTTTTAATTAATCAGACAAGCTTTCATAAATTCTACTTGACCAACATATGTATCTCTGCATTCTAGCATGTGCCTCTGGGTTTCCTTTAAAACCCTAATGGGAGTTTGTGAAATTTCAATTCAGGCGTACTCTTAACGGAAAGGTTTTAAGAACTAATTGTGCTAGAAATATAATACAGTCTCAGGAAGTATCTGTCTAATTAGTGAGACATACACGTATAGGAAGGAAAGTTAACTGTAAATGTTTCCTTCCTCTCCTCTTAACCCTTTGAATTGCACTATAAACATATTTGGTCTTCATCCATTTCACAACAGGTTTTCTCTCAGAATCCCTTCTTTGTTGATTAATTACAAATGCAGACATGCAAACAGGGGGAGAGGTGAGAAGAGGGAAAGGAAGGGAGGAAAGACACCGCATTCTACTTTCCTGAAAATTTCTAGTTCAGCCAATACAGTATAACCGTACCTCACAAAAGATTTAACCATGCCACCTCAAAAAGTTATCTATATAGCCTACACAGTGACAGTATATATACATATACACACATGTGTCTATATGTAGTGGGAATAAATTCATAATGTTTGGACATCCATGTCAACTCTAGAATATTTTAATGTATGTTTTTTCCATGGAACACTTTGTACAAGTGCTATCACCTGGTAAGAATGGCTAAAAAATTTTCATGTAGGTCTGAGGAAGTAATTGTCTTTTGCAACACATGAGAAAGTTATGCTCTTCGGCAGAAATCACACGCAAGGCCCTTGTAACCTACTTTGAGCAATACAGATTTCACGAGGTGTTTTCATTAGTTTTAAGTGTGGGTCTCAAGTACAGTAGAGTGATTCTAAGCCCTACAGCTCATATCACTAATGTTTAGCATGAATAACATTAAGTTAATGACCTAAAATAAAAACATCTCAGACTGGGTATGCAATTTACTGCCAGAATATTAATACTTCACACACACACACATACATATATATATATATTAGACATGAGTGACAGTCTGCATACGCAGGTAGTAAAAAGACGTTTATCGTCAGTACTTGCTGCTTCTGAGTGCTACACTGTACAGGCTTGCAGAAACAGAACAATCAAATTAACTTCTGGAAAGAGATACAGAATTCAATATGGCAACCTGCTCACATCCTTCTTTAAAACAGAGTGCTAAAATGGGACCAAAATTGTACCACTTAGTTGTCCTACACAGGCACGTTTTTGTGCATGAACACAAATAATAATACCATAATTGTAAATCATGCTTCATAATTAATTTCATACAGGACACCTATTCTTTCTCTGTCTATTGCTTTGAAAACCATAGGCTATGTAAGGCTAAGCGGAAATTGGCAACTTAGAGTATGATTTTTATAGAATAAGAAAGTGGTAAAACATGTTTTAGGTTTCAGCTACTTGAGTTCCTCCCTCCCTTTTCAATGGTTGTAGTGACATTTAATACTCTGTAGCCTTAACAGTTCTTACGAAATACAGGATGAAAAGAGTATACCTTTCTCTGAATGTCATCAAAGATTTCAGGTGTTGGATCCTCATGGTTCAGTGTTTCTGCCAGTTTTGCTACTAAGTTGTCATCAATATTAACTCTTGGAGATGCCTGTCATAGAAATCTAAATCAACTTTTGCAGCATAAAAATAAGAAAGCTTCTATTTTCACAAATAAAGTCCAATACAATTCTATAATTCTCTAAACAAACTAAATTTCTTCATGCTGAGTGTTTCTAGCTCTAGAACTGTCTAGAACACACAACAGGAGTCAGACATGCCCCCACCCAGTAAGTTCAGAGTTTGTATTTAAAACTCAGAAGTTTGAGGATTAAATACTAAGAATCACCTCAAAAACTACTTATGCACATTATTTTGAAGCAATACCTAAGCCAGATCTACTTAGACTTAAAACCAGATTTTATTTATGAATAGCAAGATCTAGATTCAGAAAGTAAGAATATGCCACTAAGAAAATAAGAAGATGAAGACCTGAAGCATTTGAGGAAAGGCTAACAGTTTGTCAACTCTGCCAATTTCTGGAAAGATTAACAGTAGCTGTTAAAGTACAGCTACCAACATACTAACTCTATCAGCCATCAGATTCCCAGTCATCCCTTGGTATGACATAGTTCAAACCACTGCCCGTTAAGCATTCTTTTAGATGAGCCCAAGTTCACACACCTTCCCCATTTTCTATTACGAGACAGGGAGCCAGCACTCAACCAGACCCAACATAGCTCACTCAATCTATTAAGCACAGGCGAGAAGCTGAGTTTATCAGCTCTGGAATAGCTCTGGTGTTAGATGGCTTCTGACTTCAAACTGGTGATATTCAGTCAGCTCAAAAACCTATCTGAGCAAGCTCTGCACAGTCTAAAGACCACCACGTCAATAGACTACTGAGGTGAAAAAACAGAGTGAAAGAAATTATGTGGAAAGAGAAGCATTACAAGAGATTTGAAGGATAATTTGCTAAGGGAAGTTCTCCAGTGAATTGAGAGGTAATTTTTATGTATACACAAATTGAGAACAAAGATGCTTTGTTAACACAAGTTGACAAGTGTTTTCTTTCACAGAGGACTCAGTTACTGCAAGACCACTGGAAGCATTCAGGCTTAGTCTACTGAAAGATAGGCTCAAATAAGTGATATTTGAGCAATTTATACAGACAATTGTACAAAGGCACAGGAAGTTTTTTCATTTGAAAACCCAATCTTAATCCAAGTTTGTTCAAATGTTGGGTTGCATCTTTTTGAAAACATTTCTTCAGGCGGTAGGGGTGCACAAGGCAGGGTAAAAGGAAGGGAAAGGGGAAAGGACAGCACACACAAAGGGACAGATTTTCTTATCCTGTCCACATTTTCTCTAGTTTCTCTCTATTCTAGAAGGTCAGCTTCTGAGGAACACATTCAGTGCATTTTACAGGATAGTCAGGGCCAGTATGAGACTTTTTAAATGGAGGGGAGGGGAAAAAAAACCAACTGCTTACTGCTTGACAGAAGGAAAGGGAATATACACAAGTAATAGCTTAAATGTCAACTTGTAAACAACTTGCGCTACATCCCATCCATTTCATATTAATGTAGCCATAACTACTAAAGAAGCGTCTGTACAAAGAATAAATTCCAAACAACAGACAAATAAGTTATTTCTACCTTTTCTGATAAATATTGCTCATAAACTCCAAATGCAGCTGCTCTTAATAGACCCTTGGTTTGATTAGTCTGATGTTTTCCATCTTTCTGCCGGCTTTGAAGTACCTCCAGCTGTTGCTGTGCTGTAACCCTGTATCCTTCCACTGTCATCCAGAAAAACAGATGTGCTTGGCCACCAGTCTGCTGCATGTAATCTATAGAAAACAGCCACCACACCACCATAGTTACTGTTGTGCATCTTAGAATAGAATCCTCTATGATGTTAACTACATACGGAACTCCAGAATCTGGTTATACCTCTGGAATAGTTGTCATCTAGAGTCAAAAGTAAAAAATACTATATATATACTGGTGATAATCAATAAACAAAATTGGGAGCAAAGACTAGGAACTAAGCACTTAATCCTAAAATGCACATGTAAAAAGCGAATCCACCATCAGTATGTAGATGTAATAGGCTTGTACAGCATGATACCGATTGAAAGGAAGTTCAAACTGGAATTCTAACAAATCACATGCATCTACTGCATTAAAAGGACTATCACCACCTACAAAACTCATCAATATTCTTAGTAATGACCATTGGCAGCCCAATTAATTCACAGAAAAGAATCAAACATTAGAAAGCATTAAGAATTACACAACTTTAGTCCATCTATGAATATCTTGATCATAAGATAAACCTAAAATAGTACATAATTTACTGCCATATTTTAGCTCCTCAAATAGACCACCTTCAGTGACCTTGTAATCCTCTCAACTTCAATCTAACATCTATAATCATTAGTTCCATTAGCTTACTTTTGCTTTTCTCACTGAAGACTAATGATTCTGGTAAGTTTCAGAGTCATTCCAATTATAAAACTCTAAGCAGTTTTCGCAATGATTCTGTTCTGAACAGAATAAACTTGTGAAATGACAGACCAAGAAATGGTGCAAGAACAGTCTTACAGAGATATCAGTATTGAAACTAGCTTGATACCAGCTTTTGGAAGTAATGAGTATGGTGTTCTGAACAGTTAATTACAGACTGATTTGCAAAAACAGTTTTGGTTCCCTCTGGCAAGAGGCTTATACACATTTAGCTCTCAGTAGACAGCTGTATTTAGCTATTTCAAGTGTATAGTCCTGTGGCATATTCTTTATAAATAAAAAATGTCAGATAAATTGATACTTACCCATGAAAAACTGTAGTGCAACATTGTCTACCAGAATATGGTCCAGAGGGACTGTGCAAAGTTTTCCAAAGTTTGCTGCCAGTTTCACAGTATCTATTTCCTGTAAGACACAGTTCACTGTGTTCATAGGCTTTATTTTTTTTAAATTAGTTTTAAAAGTTTCTGCTTACCAAAAAGCAGAAGTAATAAAAAATAGTTTACATTACAGATAATGAAGCAGCCTCTCAATGGTTAGTTATTATCACATCACTAGTATGTGAAGATCTAGATCATAAGGTCACGTTCTCATAACTATTTGCCTTCAATATAGATTATTTCTGCTACATGGGAAACGGAGTATTAACATTGCTGTTCCTGTAATACTATACAGGTCAAATTAACCCCAAATCCCTCACCAATAGTGACGGTAGCATACAAATCAATTAACAGAATGAACTAATTTCAAAATTTGATGCGGTGCAGGTCACCACAACTTAAATTCATCTCTGTCCAACTTTCTTCTGTTAATACAACATTTCTTGGTATTACAGTAATGGTTCTGGATCCAACTATAGAATACGTAAACATTTTAACAGTCAATATGCACAAGATTACATTATATTGGAGCCGCATCTACATCCAATTAAGAGAGTCAAGAAACTAAGCGGTCAACCATACTGACTCTGTCCACCTTAAATTATAAAACAAAATATAAAACAAACGAAGAGAACTACATGAGGTTCTCAAATTTAACATCCAGTTTGTCTTAGGCTTTTCATACCTAAAGAGGTAAACATGTCTGACAAAAGGCAATATATGGAGTCTACAAGGCATTGCAACATAATCAGCAAGCGGTACCTTTATCAGCAAGAAAAGAGATCTTTGCCAAAGACTAAGCTTGAGGCACAGAAGGTATGCACTGGAGCAGCAAAACAGAACTCAATCTAGGTGCATAAATACAAAAACGCTTTGCATCTATGTAACATTTTGGTTTAACTCTCGTATTGAGAAAGTAGGAATAGTTAAGATGTACTGACCTATCTGATAAAGAGAGAATCCAAAAAACTCTAAACATGTAAGCCTTTAGAAATTCTTTCTATACTTAAAACTGCAAATACAACACTAACTTCAGTTGTAATAATGTATTCCTATAACTGCATACATCCAGCTGTGTTTCAAAATGCAAGAATTAAAGCACTAAACAGAACTACTACATCATTTGCTGCTTCACTCTTTCAGAACTAAAAAAAAAAATTCTAAAACACTTACTTTTCCTGACTGCAACCTCTGAATTCTTGAATCACATACTTTAATAACATATAATAAACTGTTTATCTGATTTTTTATAGTGTTGATATCTGAAAGCAAAAAAAAAAAAAGAGGATTAAGCAATGCAGATGAGTGTACAAATTCTTGTTCTGAAATGCTCTAAAAATACCATAGAAAAGTGACATATGACTTACAAAACATATCAGTTTTGCAAAGAAGTTTTTTTTCAGTTTAAATACCTTATTGATAGAAGCAAACAGGAATAAATATTTTTCTTTTTCCTTTACCTGTTAACTGAGTCTATACACTAATACCTGAAGTGTTACTGAATTTCAGAACCACCAGTCAAGGCAAGTTTCAATTCAGTGCAAGTATACATACCTAACCAATTTATTTCAACAAAAAAAACCCAAACACACACATATGAAGATTCAAGTTTTAACACTTCACATATAATCTATTTATTTTTTAAATAACAAAATGTTTTATACTATGCTGCAGCAGTGGTTTTATTTTCTAAATTTTTGGAATATACTTCAGAGAGCATGCTGGCAAACGCATTTCATATTTTGTAAAACAATACAGCACTAACCATCTCCTGCTGTATCTAGAGATCGAAGATATTGCAATTCTTCACTTGCTTTATCTTTCACTGCTTCCAACTCGCCTATATTATCACTTAATTTAATAATATTCATAAAGGCCTCATAGTTACAGTTGGAATCACGAATCTGAAACAGAAGTTTTACAGTGTGAATAATGCAAAACAGGTATACACACATGACATCAGTTTTCATTAAATGAATTATTTTGATACAGCACTGCAAAGCGGCATTTTGGAAACACTTTGATGCTTCTAAACCTTCCTCTTGATACTAAAATTTTACACAGACCAAAAATGAGGAAGCATGCACACAGTCAGCACTTACTTTACACCATCATTTTCTGCTTTCAAAAAGTACAAAAGACACTTGGAAAGCACATCAACCTCCTTAACGAAGATCTTGTCCAAAACTCAATCAACCTTCTTCTGCCATTACCCATCCCCTTAGCTAAGTAGGCAGAAACTGGTGAGACCACTGAAGAGGTTTACACTTTGCCAAGGTCCCCTGCAAGTGTACATGCTCCCAAAGTAAAGGGCTTCTTGGCTTCTTAAGATACAGAGTTACAAAAAGAATTAAAACATTCTACAATGTAACCATAACCTACTGGGAGGGGCAATTACTGAATTAATCATAGAATCATAGAATAGTTTGGGTTGAAAGGAACCTTTAAAGGCCACCTAGTCCAACTCCTCTACAGTGAGCAGGGACATCTTCAACTAGACCAGGCTGCTCAGAGCCCCGTCCAACATGACCTGGAATGTTTCCAGGGATGAGGCATCCACCATCTCTCTGGGCAACCTGTGCCAGTGTTCCACCACCCTCATAGTGAAAATTTTTTGCCTTAGATCTAGTCTAAATCTGCCCTCTTTTAGTTTAAAACCATTACCCCTTGTCCTATCGCAACCGAGCCTGCTAAAAAGTCTGTCCCCATCTTTCTTATAAGCCTCCCGTAAGTACTGTAAGAATATCCTCTCTGAAATCCTACTTCAGATAGCTTAATAGTATTTACAAGGGTATTTCAATACATACTATTTTCCCAGTATTGGCATAGGATGAACCTGCTCTGGGGACTCAGGAATTTGTGCAAGTAAAGCCTGCTGTGCTGCTGAGGTCACTGGAAACTGTGCTGTGAATGCAGCGTGAAGATCAGGGGAGGGCTGGCAGCAATACGGCATGTGCACACAGATGTAGAGGGTTGAGTTCTAATGCTGGCTTTACAATTTGAAGCCAAAAAAAGACACTTCACCCACATCTTTCATAAATGCTCATTTTGATATGGCAATGTAATACTTGGTCTGAACTGCAGAAGTGCATTGCTATGAGTTGCACAGAGCAGAGAGAATGAAAACTGGATACTTTTGACCAAAGTTAATGGAAAATCTTTCTAGAAATACGCTTTTTAAATTAATAGTATAAGCAATACTTGAACTCCAAACATTTTGTAAAAATGTGAATTTCACAGTGAAGAGAGACAAGTCTGGATTAACTTCTAATTTTATACTGAAGCTTTATATTTTATTGCCAGAGAATTAGTACTGAACTGTGGTGTGCTTAGAAACATGGAATTAAACCTCACATTTTCAGAAATTGAATTTTTTCATTCAAATCTTGATTTATGTCAAAGGTTGCAAAGGAGCCAGAATTTATTTCAGTCATCTCTACCTCTGACCTTAATTTCTACTACAATCTTCATAAGATTTGTATTAAATTTTTGAAAGCATTCGTTCTTCCTTATATTTCCCCCAGCACATTTACTTCCTCATCTCAGAAAGCAATTATGAAAATCAATATTTGGGACATCACCATCATAACAGAAAGCTTTATAAAAACCTCAGAATTCTATCTTTGGATGCAGCCGGGGGCAGTGCTCAGTAAATAAAGAACAAGGCCAAGTTACAAATAAAGAACATGCGTAGGAGGAAAGGGGAAAAAAAATTGAAATGTTTGGTCCATATGAGCAGCAGTATTTTTTCTTATTAAAGCTAGGTTCCTGTAGAAATGCAGTGTGCAAACTTTTACACGAAATGGAGGTGGCTGGACTGAAGGAAATGTTGTACACGTACAGTTGAATTCGTTCTGTACTCAAGAGCTCTGAGTTTTCAGGGTAGTTTTCAGCATAGTACTTGAATGCACACTATAAGACCAAATTATAGGAATAAAAGTAGACAGTACTTGGGGAAATTAAAAAAAAAATTAAACTTGATTCATGATCTATAAGGGGTAATAAACTATAAGAGTAAGTTTCAACTTGCTTCGCAAAAAATCAGTAACATTACGTAAAAGTGTGAATATTATATTTATGTGAATTTCACTACATATTACTACTTTTAAAAGTTTGGTGGCTTTTTGCAGGTGCATTAGACACATATCAACATAAAGACTTCGTTTCTTCCCACTCAGTTAAATTATTAAGGGTTACCACAAGTATTGCAAAAACAATGACCCTGAGATTCCTTAGCAGAAGCAAAACAACCCAACCTTACTACTCGTCATTCTGGAGGCCTCAAGCTTTAAAGGACACATTGCAGAAAGAGTCAAGGCCTTCCAAGGTTACTGCCATACATCCTGAACAGCTAAGTAAAACGGTCAGAGGACGCAACTTTACGTTGTCATACATCCGTCCTCAGTCAGACGACGTCTGCCAAACCACCACAACACAGAGGACAGATAATACAGCTAGAGTGTGAATCTGTGTGTATGTATGAACATAATACATACATACACACACACACTCATATACACAGAATTTAATATAGCAACTGCAAGTTCACTATCTCTGCCAATATTCATTGGTAACTTTTCTACCAGATATCTATCTGCCATGATTACAGGAAACATGAGTAAAATTTTATATGAACATACTCTGGAAATATCATTGATTTTAAACATTATAGATCTTACCATCCATATGACATACTGATTAATATAATCAGGATCACTGAGCTGGGTTATTAATGGAAGAAGAATTCCTCGGGAGAGGATTTCCTGAAAAACAAAGTAAAACAAATCATTTTATACATTTATTCATAAAGCTAATATAACTGCAAATATTTTAAAAAAACCCCACTGTGTAGAGGCTAAATAAAAAATGTGTAATTACAGAAAACATTCAATAGGCACTTAGCACACTCCATTCCAGTTAACATTAGAAGATGTTAATAAATACCTCAGGAAAAATAACATCCATTTTACCACGCTCTTAAAATGTTGCTAGAGGTAAAAGAAACTTCAAAAACATTTCACACAAACTGTTCTCTGCTATTAAATACTTATCAAGATTGTTCTTTATTTAAAATAACCTAGTATTAAATTGGATTAATTTTACAAAATAAAAAAAGAGTTCAGCTCACAATTTTTTTTATGGCATTAAACCAAAGAATTGGGATGGATTTTGGAGTCCATATTTACCCTGACAAAGTATCGCATGATCTTGTTCTGGAAGTCTCCAGGAGGTAGCAATATATACAGTAAAACCTCACACAGATCCCTTAGGAATCCTAGGGGGCGAGAACAAATTTTTGCACAGTTTTTGTATTATGTTATTTCACATCTTACCTGGTATCATAAAACCAACAGATAAATCCTTAAAATGAAATTCAAATATACAGTCATATGTATTCTTATAGTCCAAGCGTCACAGTAACACTTTTCAGACTGAATATAAGCAGCACTGATGTAAACCTGAGACACATCTAGAGTGTCAAAACCAAGACAAAAGAAAGCCAAATTCCAAGAACCAAAAAGCTAACTCAAATGTATTTCCCTTATTTAACATATACAGGCTCCCACACCCCCCTCCACATTTTGCCCAAAAAGATAAACTGATTTCTTAAATGAAGATTATGGAGTAGTGATAAGGAAGGCAGCTCTAACAACAAGCAATCAGAATCTGCAAAGCCATCCTCTGCCTCCCAGAAAACATATTTCTGTCTTAAAATTCTTCCAATGAAAAGGGGTATAACTACATTGTACACACTTCATTACAGTTACAGCATTAATATGTATAAATTAGAGAAAACATACATGTACAGTAGATAATCATGCTTTGAAAGTCACATGCTAAGATTTCAGTATATTTCATATTGTGAACACAACTGTTAGTATTTTAATTCTACAGTATATAGATATAGTGTGTGTGTATATATATATACGTAGTGTATATATATGTAGTATATACTATGCTTTATTAGTCTTCTATACTGAAATAACTTCAGAACATAATATTGAGAAACCTTCTTCATCTTTGGGAGAAGTGCAGACTAGATCACGACAGACTTCTTTTTCCATTTCAACTTCAACCTCAAAGAATGTATCTACAAGTTCCTCTGCTTGGTCTAAACAGAAGAAAATAAAAAGAAACATACTTTTTTGTGAAGATTGAAACTTGAGAGCAAACTTGAATTATAAAATAAAGCTAACTATATTTCACACATGTATGATACCTACCTATTGAGACTCAAATAAAAAAAAAAATATTTAAATCATTACATTACCTTTTATCTGATCACCTTTTTCTGCTATTCTTTGCTGAGCTTTTCTGAAAACTCGAAGATGAGTGCCAAAGTCATCAACAAGTCGTGTAGTGAAATAAGGCTGCCAGTCTGTTTCCTTAGACCTACCAGAAAAGGACATCCATGAAAATGAATTATTTTATCCTGAACACAAAGAACAGTAAAATTTCTACTTCTCCTTCCTCCCTGCCAAGAACCACATTGATAGTACATATGGACAAGCAAAGAAATAAATCAGTCTCCTAATTGCCTATCTGCTGAAAACAAATCAAATACTGTAAAATACCACTCTTGCACCACATTAATATTTATGCCTGAATTACTTTAAGGTCAACATTAGTATCTGGGATAGTGTTCTGATTCATAACATTATCAACTATCTGTGAAAAATCTTGATATAAACAGTCTACAACCTAAAACTAAAATAGGCCTCAGGTCTTTTACAGCCATACTTTCTACAATTTTGGAAGGTACCTAAACAAAACAATTTTCTTCTGAAATTGCAGTATATGCATGCATAAAACATGTTTTACTTGAAGCTACAAGCAACCTAATGTTATGAACAACTGATGCCACAGCTTATGAGAGAGGTAATTAGTTTGAATCTCCAACAATGCACATAGGTTAGTGCCAAAAAATAATCATTGTTAGATTTGCATAAAACTATTTCCTTAGTGGTATGAAAAAGATGCAGAGATGTTCTTATGATGTCCGTGCTTTACTAGCCAAATTGAAAAGGCACTTGTGCACTATAGGTTTCATAAAGCTAAATGTTAATGATGACTTTTACTCTGCCCTAAGTATTCCACTACCTGAATTCTCTCAGACACCTACTTTGTTGTAACATAATCCTTCCAAAAATTCCATTTTTGTGTTTGTTCCCTCACCTGCTCTTTCTTCTCTCAAAGAGAGAGAAAGGGATAAGGAACAGAGACGGAAGCCTACTGCAAAATCTAAATGTGGAAATAAGAAGGAGAGCTGTCTCAAAGGGCAGTCAATCAAAACCATCAATAATCTGGATCCACCATCGGCAGAATCAACAAATTCTATAAATACACTAGGTGGCAGCCTTACATCATTCTTCCAAACGTACAATTCTCAAGAAGGGGAAAAAAAAAAAATGAAATCCCACTGTATCCATTCTCTCCAGAAGCTCATAGGGTATACGAAATTAGAGATGATGGTAGTAACCTAAGACTGCTACAGCTATACCCAACTACAGTCATAAATATACTACATTATTTTCTCTTAATAATAAGAACTGCTGCAGCCCTGTGAAACCAATTTGATTTGTACAGAACTGCACAGGAGAGGTGGCTATTTTTGAAGAGCTGTAGTACTGTAGGAAAAAAATTTAAATTCGCTATAACTTGACCTGCTTCGCCACAAAGCCAGTGCTTGATACTGTTCAATGAAGTAACTTCACCAAATAGACAAAAACATTGAAGTTAGGTAGCCACGTCCATTTCATGTAAGCACATTCTGTAACATACAGTCTATTTAGCCTGATTTTCACTATTTCTAAGACTGTTTCCTAGGACTTCCATTATTTCACTACCAATAAGATCTTTTTATAATGAATTTTTCCTAGCATTAAACCTAGCTCTCCAGCTCTGACTTTTCTTGCCAGAAAAGTACACTGACCTACATTTTCAAGTCAAGAGAGGGAGGGGATAACACCACCTCAAAATTGCTAAATAGTTTATTGTATCTCGGTGACCCACAACCTCTTCTGAAAACAGATAACAATCAGCACAGTGGGATGAATAGCTGAAATCATTACTTAACAAAGTAGATGGATATAAAGGCATGCAGTACTTGGGCTGCGAAAAGAGCCACACTAAAGAAGATAAATAATTTCCCAGACAACTTCCCTGACTTCTTGCTACTTGTTTAAGCAACAGCAGAAAAAACAATTAACAAACTATCCATTTGTTCTCAACCAACCCTATTTTTGAAAAAGATTTATATATGTGACATATCATTTCGTTCCCCAGATTACCATCCCTTTAAAAATACTCATTGTTCTTCCACACTGAAAAGCAGTATCACTTTTAAAAGTTATCTGAGCTGATTCAGGTATCTGAATTAAAGGCTTTCAGACTGACTTACCTTGGGAATAGCCCTGCTGTTTATATGAAATAGACCTGCATATCAAAAGGTGACAATTCATGCAACTCAATGTTTTAAGTTGCAGAAAAAAAAAGCTATTCAGTAATTTTAGACATTAAACTACTTTTGAAAAGGACATTTTGCAAAACACCACAACTACAAACATCATCTCCATTCATTCCTTAAGGGATCAGCAAAAGACTGTAGTTCTTAGATTATGATCTTAAAATTTTGTATGTTCTTTCCC